AAGTAAAGAAAAAAAGGAATTTGGGCAGTTTTTCTACTAATTCCCCACCAGAGTTTCTAACAAGCAGCTTCTGTAGTGAACGAATATATAATATGCAATTTTCATTTCACAATGAGCAGTCAACGTTCCAATAACCCACACATTTTGTCAATGCTAACACTGGCCTTGTTGGGTCTTCGGATGAATCATGTGCCATTTTATTGCCTTTTGCCTTTTTACCGTTCTAAGCTGGACTGTGGCTGAGTACAATATTTGTGCACCGTTTTAGCAATAATGTATACACTGCGTTCAACAAAATAGAATTGTCAGTTATAGTATCTTTCTCAACATTATTATTTTCCAAAAACGTGGCGGTGAGGGTTTATTTTTTATTTTTGCTACAATATTTTTGGCACACAGAATTTGCAGGTTTCGTCACTTCGACGAAGCAGGGGCGAGATAAGTGCAAAAAAGATCGGCCCGCACTTTTTTTGGTGGTGCACTCTGACCAGAAGCATATATATATTTTTTGTTTAGGCCTTACCGGTGTCATAATAGTTTCTGTAATATGATGCTTTTAGAAGTCAATAATTTGTGCATGTTGGCAAAATCGCACTAATTAGGACTTAATTAGCCCAAACTAAATTGGATTCATCAAAGAAAATGCCCAGACGAAACGTGCAATGAATACCAGGATCACATAAAATTACAAACTGACTCGCACATCCACAAATTCATTAGAAAATCACCTGAGACACAAATTCAGTGATTTAAAGATTGCATTGTTATTCTTATCTTGGTCGTTACAGACATATATTTCTTCTTCTTCTGTTTTTACCTGCATTTGAAACTTTTTCCATCCCATCAGCTGAGGGAACAGGGTATCGGACTGTATATCTGAATCAACTATGATGGAAGTATTATTCTTTTGTTTTTATTGTATCTCGCTTACATCTTCTACTACTTTCGTCGCTGATGTCGCTCTACTCTATATCAAATGAAAAATTACGCTGTTCTATTATATTAGATTCATTCTGTTTTTTTTTTAAAGAAATCATAAAATAGCAATGTAAGGTTATTTATATGCTTTTACTTGTAAGCATTTTCAAGTCACCAATTTTCATCAATTGAATACTAGATAATACAGGAATTTATACATCCGTGACTACATCTAATTACCTCCTTTTTGTAATTCCTATACTAGTCATAATCCAATTAGAGGTTCCAAACATTTCATTGTTATACCGGGTAGTACTAGTACTCACTCAGCGTTTTTTATTGTACACCGACATGCGACTGATATGAGCCCAGTCACCTGACCTACACATGTGATCAGGGTCACACTGTGTCACGGTGTATTGGACCACATGATCAGTCAGAAGCTTTTTCGTCTAAGATTGTGCTCCTCTGTGTCTTTCTGAGTGCTGTAACTTTCGTTAAATGGAAGAACCAGAAATCGTCGGTGCCGGTGACAATTCATCGATAGCAATGCAGCTGATTAAGCAGGGAGCTGAGGCGCGAGTGTATTCTTATACGTTCATGGGCAAATCCACTATTGTCAAAGAACGATTCAAGAAACGATATCGGCATCCGGTATTAGATAACAAACTCACTCACAGACGCACATCTCAAGAAGTTAGATCCATACTCAAGTGTAGGAAAGCTGGTGAGTAAACTGGTTGGTGATTGATCAAACCTCATTGTTGGGAAATCAATGTTTATCAACACAAATGTCGCATATGCGCAGCGCGACGACTATCTCCCTTCAAGGCTCCAATGTTTCAAGTTTGTTGGATGGTGTATGAGATCGCATCATGAAAAAAAACAAAAAAAAGTTGTTTATAGATATCAAATTAGCTATCACTACTTATAGTGCCGGTAAATCATCGTCCGCCTGCACGGTGTTGTTCCGTTCGGACATCCCTCTCTCTAATAGTGGATTGCCTCTCCGGAACATTCACATTGAAAATTCAAGATGCGGTAAATAAGCCTTTAAATAGTTACTTTGTGGTACTCCCATGTTGCATTGTGATATTCTCATGGTATTTGTGGTATTTTCATCGTACTTTTTGGTACTCCCATGGTGCATTGTGTATCTCATTTATGTTAGGGTTTTTCCTAGGCTTTTGATCAGAATGCTCAACTAAGCAAATAGGTGGTTAAGTCGTATAACACAGTAGGTGGCTAAAGAGTCATTATGAACAAGTGTAGACTGATAATTAGCTTACAACTGCCTTCTAAGAAAACTCCTGTAAATATAAAGTAGAAGGAGAAGATCACTGCTTGGGGTGATAGGCATTCAATTTGTTCAAAAGTATAATTCTATAGCTGAAAAAAGTAAAAAATTATTGAACATATTATATGAATTCGTGGAATGAGATGCTGAATTGTTCAAGTTATGGACATTGAATTGCAAACATCAAGTTACAAAAAATGACCACACCCATATTTTAGAAACAGCACAAATTGTAACTCATTGTTCAATTACTAGTACTGTAAAATCTGTATTAAAAGCTACGGCTTCTATTAAAATGGTACAATGCAACAGAGGAGATGCGGCTTCTATTAGAGCATCTACACATATGCGACCTGGTGAATTTTTGGGTCTTGAATGTTCAAAAAGAATGTGTGCAGCTTCTATTGGGGATGCGGCTTCTAATACAGATTTTACGGTAACAGTTAAGAGAACTTATGGGCAATATACCTTTTTATTTTTGTTGAACGTCCGCATTTAGTAACTCAAACTTCAATTACCCACAATTAACCCAAACATGGTCCCATGGTCCAATGCAAGTGTAAGAAATGAGATGTACCATTTGTACTAGACAGTGATCATTGCCCCATGCATGTGTGAGATATTGGGCCATATACAAAGATGCCAACTTTGATTGACCAAAGATCAGCATGTACAAAAAGAGATACTACCAAGGTTACCTAGGTAATTCTGGAGTGGTATGAATAAAATTAAATGACTCTAAGGAGTCAAAGTAGGGGAATTTAGTGTACATTATGACCAGATCAAAATTCTTATTCATACTTGCCACTGCAAGTGGCACATTGGGTTGTGGGAGGATCACAGTTTATCAACACAAATCTTACACATACATTGTCAGACGATCACCATCCTTTAATTTAAGACCCAAATAACTAGTATAAGTCTTTTTTTGACTTGTTTGTAGTGCACTATGACACTCACCTATAAACTATACAGTTATTTGCTTTCTTTTCATTGTGTAATATTTCACACTGAATGTTTAAAAGTACAGTCAATACATCATATTCACTTTCCATTTAAATTCCATATTCATTCATTAGGTTTTTAAATTCACAGATTTGACATTGATGTAATTTAGCAGATTTAATCCAAACCCAATAAATGTTAAAGCGAGAGGGTCGTCACCTGCGCACATGTGGGAATTGCGTTCTAAGCGATGATAACACGCACCAAAAAATGCAAAGGCTCATGGGTAGACGTTTGTTTGTAAACAATGACACGCTATGGCCATCTGTCGAATGTGCAGGTGACGACTCCCTCGCTTTAATGCATTTACATGAAAAAAATGAACAATTTTTAGTATTATATGTGACAATTTATAAACAGGATAAGTTCAAATTTTGTATTCATTTATTTATTCACAGGAATGTGCACTCCAACAGTTTACTTTGTCGACTACGAAACACATAGAATATACATGGAAAACATTGAAAATGCCACCACAGTACGTAACTACATTGCTTCAGAACAGCAGAAAGGAACAGACCTCACCTCTTTGATGGCACTTGCTGAAAAAATCGGGACTGATCTGGCAAAGATGCATGACATAGATGTCATCCATGGCGATTTGACAACCTCAAATATGTTGTTACGGCAACCCCCTGGGGCATCTCCAGTTATCATGATTGATTTTGGACTGAGTTATGTTTCTTCTCTGCATGAAGACAAAGGTGTCGATTTGTATGTACTTGAAAGAGCTTTTCTTTCCACACATCCAAACACAGAGAAGATTTTTGATTGTGTGTTATCATCATATCGTAAATCTTCCACAAAATCCACAGATGTGCTGAAAAAACTGGACGAAGTCAGAATGAGAGGGCGTAAAAGATCTATGGTTGGCTAGTAAGAAAATGAACTCTTCTTTTTTAATTTTATTTCATCTTGAAATGAAATTCCTCAATTTAACTTTATGCTATGTAATATAATGTACTGTAGTCATAGAAACGAAATAAATACTCAAGAATCAGTTTTCTTTGTATAATTATTTAGGGTTGCGATTTACAAATTTCTA